CCTGGCTCTGAATTGCAATCTCATGTGCTTGGAACAAGTTGCTGATTCTTGTTGTATTGATGGATCTGGATGTTTATGCACACCCAATATCACAACTCTTCAAAACACAACTTGGTTGCAGAGCCATCCTTACCCTAGAGGTGGGATCATTGCAGGAAATTTTTTGCCAGCAGCCATCTCTGGTCTGGGAAGATTAGTGAAAACATCATTGATGATTGATGCAAGCTTTAATAAATTCCAGGGCCATGCGCTCCTCCCCTGGAATTCAACTGCATATCATATCCATCGAGGGATGCAGGTCAGATTAGCCTTATGTACACGAGGAATGTGAGAGAATGACTGTAAATTGTTCAAGGTAGCGTGCATGCTTCAACATCTGCCATTTTCCTGTAATCAAGCATCACATGCTCAAAATGTCTCATATTCAACGGTGTGCTGCCCTGATATCTTGTAATTATAATATTTATAATAATATTATTAATGATTACGAAAAGCAAAATATTATCAATGAAAATCTTGTAATTACCCAGCAATGATCTGCTCCGCGTTTTGATTTCCAATTAAAATATTTATAAGCTAAAATAAAAATATCAATACAAGTAAAAAAAAGTAGTACCTCTGGTTAGTTATTAACACGTATTCTTTAGGAGACCAAAACCAAACCACAACACTCACGTTTTGTCACCTTGGACTCTGTCAAAAAATAAATTGTTTTTCCAAAAAAAAAAACCAATAGGATAAATAATTAATGTGTACGCGTCGATCAAATAACAAACTTCTTTTAATTCTTTTCTTAAAATATGCCACAAAAAAGGAAATTCGATCAAAGAACCAAACAAAATGATCGTGAAGACATCTCTGGGTAAGTGTTTTAAGGGTGGTGGTGGTTATCGCCGCATCGCAACTTGTTTCACTCTAGTTAACTTCTAAAAAATGGATCAACAGATTTCAAAAAAAAGAATGCGAATATGAAGAAACAGCTGAGTAAGTATTACTAGAGCATAATCATTTTGCAAGCTATTCTAACTAATTATTTATAATTTCTCATATTGTATTGCCTTCTTAGATTGTTGACTACTAAAGCTGCTACCACTACTGCTACTGCTACCACTAATATTGTAAGTTACATTCTTTTCAAATGTATATGACCAAATTTATTTACTGGACAAGATTAATTATTTTATTTTTAATTATTTATTATTTTATCTACTTTTAGAATAATTTGCTGTCTAACAATGAGTAAGATTTCTAAAAATTATTACTTTGATTTAATCAATTTACAAAACATTTTGACTTCTTTTTATTTATTTCCTAGATGTGAAGATCAACTCCAAGGAACTATATTTATAGTATGTTTGGTTCAAGCATTCATCATATTAATTCATATATTGACATATATATTTATGAACATTGTCTAGAATGATTATGAATTAACACCTACTCGAATACCTTGTACATCAACGTTAGAATTGCCACCTCTCTATATTAAGGTATAGACTATTTGTGCATGTCAAAAATGATCAAGAGCCTGATTTGCTCAAATTAATAGTTCAACTAATAATTTTTTTCACATAACTTTAAGATCCTTGAAGAATCTGACAATGAGAGTGAGGATGATGAAGAATGTGAAGAGAGCCTAGATGAGGATGATGAAGAAGGTTCAATTGATTTTAACGAAATTTCCTTCAACTCATCTACAAAAACTGAAGTTGATGATAGTAGTGAAAAAAGATGGATGTTAAAAAATCAAGTGATGGTAAAAGAAGTACTTATACAAATGACAAAAAAGACAATTGAGCAGTCCAACTATCAGAAAAAAGTAAGCGCACATACTCTGAGCATCATCCGGTATGTCATGTATTCTCTTTCTCACATTCATAATATTGGTACAAATTTTAACCACAGATAAACATGTGTGTATGCAGGCTTGGTCTATCTTCGATTATTGACCTTTCTTCGGAATTTGCTGGTGGCATGCATAAATGGTTTGGAAAAGAATGGATAGTTCTTAAAGAAAAGGTGTTATCACAAGTGAACATCACAACAAAACAATTTGATAAGGAGATTAAAAATGACATTAACAGAATAGAGAAAGTATGTATTAAATTACTTGTTGTTTGTTAGAATATGTATGTACATCACTGAACTCTTTTTACTCTTTTATGTTCAGTTTTGCATTTCATATCAGTACTGGGAAAGCAGGGATTATGTTCTTGAGAAGTTGAAAGGGCATTCAGATAAAATCATGCATCAACAGATAATGAGAATTTATTTTTTTGTGTATGTAATATATGTTTTTTTTACTGCTATAACCATACTGCCTACAAAATTGAACATAGTTAAATTTTATCACTAGTATTGATATGTTTTTGGGAAACCCACACATATTTGTGGATAAGGAAGGACAAAAACAAAATTTGTCAGAAATTGAATTTTACACTTAAAATTGTGGGTCCGATTTTAATTTTTTCTGATATACAAGATCACATTCAACTCAAATGGTGAGTATTCTTGTTTACTATGAAGCAGTTGTCAATTGTGGGTCTGTTAATTTGCTTGTATGAATATTTTTAGGGGTGAGACTGTCTCTAGGGTAGCATTAGCTAGAAAGATTGATTTACAAATCATATATAGATCAGGTAATAAAGAACTGAGTCATTCAGAAGCTGCTCGATCAACAACACCAAATAAAGTAATTAAGGATCGTAGTAAATGTATGCGAACAAATAAATGTATTCTTGACCAGTATTTGATGCATGATCTTTCAAAAGAAGCAGTTGATGATTCTGCTGTTTTAGGATTACAATTAGCTGGTAAGGCTTTTTACACTACACATTTTATTATGTTTATAATTGATTCTCATAATTCTTATCATTGTGTAGCTCTCCATGGTCAAATCATTGGTATTGATTTAGTAGATAATGGCCTATATTTTGGATTTGAGGGTCCTGCATTTAGGTTCCCTGCTAAACTTGATGATATTACAACTTTGGAGAAAACTTTGGAGGCGTTATATTTATTTAAGGTAAGAAAAAGAGCAATTGATGTTCAATGATAATGGATGCTTATAACAACTCCTTAAATAATAGGATAATATAAACCGTAAAGCAGATGTATTATTTAAACTTGACAATGATAATTTAAATCCATTTCATGGAATCTTTCATACTGAGAATACTTCAACACCAAATCATCACAAGGCCAGTTTTATCAAACCAACATGTTTCACCCCAACGAAACCAAAACAAACGGTTGTTGAAGAAATAAAGACATTGCAGTCTGTTAATTTAGAATTCTGCTAATATTGTACTTAATGTACAAAATGTATAAATATATATTTTTTATTCAAACTTTAGATTATTATAATACTCATGCTTAAAATAATTCAATTGTATATTGTATAATACTAGTAAATATTATTTTTTATCATTATTAAAAGTAGTTAACAGTTGGCAAGTGAGGGTTCCCAGACTAAAAATTGAGGTTTTCATATCAAATAATTCTTCAAACCAAGTGTCACTAAGTTATTTAGAGTGAGAAAGGATGTTCATATTAGTGTTATCAGGCCAAGAAAAAAAAATATTATTTATTATTTACTATTGTTACCAGAATTCAAAATTGAGGCCGATTTAGTATTAGTAACTGAAGCCCTATAATTTCGAATTCATCTATTTTTATTTTTATTTTTATCCATTTATTTGTATTCTATTTATTTATTAATTATTTATATGAATTATTTGTATTTGTTTACGTTTTGTCACATTTATTAATTATTTTGTAATGTGATATTATTTATTTAGTAGAAAGTAACAACAATGAGCCATATTATGGCTACCTGGCCATTACACAGAAAGTACGGAAAAGCAATAACATGGCCAATTAGCCATGATACAACTAATTAGCCATGATATGGCTAAATAGCCATAATAAGATTATTAATTAATTAACACGTATATAAGCAACTTGAATTCACTGTACTTTCAGAATAACTTTGTAAAAGAACTTTGGGAACTTGGTGATAAGTTAAGAAGTTTGAGAAAACTTGTAGTGAATTGAGAAGTTAGAAATAACTTAATTAGTTTTGACTAAATAAATCATAATCAAACGTTTATCTTTTTAACCAAAATTATCTGCTAATAAAAACTAATTTGTTAGTAAACCTATTCATTCTGATCCACATAAGCATAATAAACAATTGTTATTATCAATTAATTCATGCTCTCCCAAACATAATTGGTGACAATATCATTTTGTTTTCAAATGGTTCAGCATTGATCATTCATTTTAAAGATTAAATTTAGATTATTCTCATTTTCAATGTTTTCATCAGATATCTCCAACAAAAGTCAAAATCCTATTACTCTAGACTAATCTCAATTAAGCTCCTGGAATAAGTATCCAAATTTTATTTAATATTAATAATAAAAAGATCAATGTTTCACTTGTTCATAGTAATAGATGGATCATCAATTAAAATTTTTAATCCCTGAAATTCTTGGTAATACCAATGTTCACTTTGTTGGGTTTTGTTGCAGCATGCCCCATATTAAATATATATTAGAAATAATTCTATTACAAACCTTCTTGGGCAAATTGATTTTTTCTTTTATGTTGAATGCAAATTGTATAAATCATTTGTTTATGGATATGGTCATAATGAAGCCATTTATATTCAGATAATCATTTTTGTTTGAAACTATTGATTTTTATTTTTTTATTCAATTGATTTAATTTTTTCATTTTCATTTTCATATTCAATTCAGCAAGTTCAGTATCAAAAGTACTATTATTAGAATTTTCTTCTGGATTAATAAATTGAAATATTAAAATAATTAATTTTTTACTTTAACAAAGAAAGAAGGCACTGGAAGAATTGATATTTATAGAACATACCTTGAGCTACTTCTAAATCCATACTCAAATAAACTCATTTTTACATTTTATAATCATTAAAAAAATATATTTTTACATTACACCATTTCCGTTTTTTTTCATGACCAGTAAAATTTATTGCTTCCGGAAATTTTCTAATAAATTTCAATTGGCATTTTTGCGCCCTGATCTAAAGACATCAAATGCTGTGCCGCACTGCTGAATCTTCATACTTTTTTGTGTCACGGGATTATAACATCACATGACTCAATCATTTTATCGTATTCGTTATGAATTTGAGTATTCAAATAAGTTTTTACTCAAATAAAATGAATAAAACGAATAATTCGAACATGCTCTCATTAAACCATTCATTCATCACCAGAATCGTCAGTCTCATAAACGAAATCATTATAATCAATTTCTTCACTTGATGCATTTTTATTCTAATTTTGTTTTTTTAACATTTCTAGCATTACTTAAATGTGCAGCTTGTTTACTTCGTTTTGGCATTTTTTTTAATTTGAAGAATGTAAAATTGTTAGTAATAGTAATGTATCGTTTGTTGATTATTTACGAAAAAAAATATATATTAATATATATTAATATAACAATAGTTTTCTGAACCGAATTTTATAATTTGCTCTGGTCACGGTAACATAGCGGGCTTTATCTGTGATTGGTTGATCCACAAAGAAATTGATTGGATAATTTTATAATATGCCGATCATT